AACGCAGCTCGTCCCGCACCAGCCACCTTCAACATGTGTCCAGAGGCGGAGCACACTTCATTGATCGGTGCAGCTCGTACTTCGTCCAGCAGGTCCTTGCGCGGCGTCATCGTCCAAGCAGCGCCTGTGTCCAACACCCAATAGTCTAGGGGGTGCAGCTCTGCTCCAACTTTGGCAGAGGCGTCTCCTTGCTCCCCCTTGTCTCCCACATGGAAGAATTGGCCCGCGGTGCGCTCCTTCTTCTCCGCACCGCCGTTGCCCTTCGGGTTGTTGTCGGACGAATCAGCGACCATGTTGGCGCCGTTTTTCTGGTTCCTCCGCGCGCCGCCATCCTGGTGACGATTCTGGGGGGTCCATCCATCAGGTTTCTTATAGCACAAAAACCAGGGGTGCCCTTCCTTCTCACAATACCAGCAACTCCCTTTCATTTTGCCACCAGCACCCGACTTGCCCCCACGTCCAGATTTCGCACCGCGACCCCAACCGGTACCTCCTTGTTGGTCGTTGGAGTCGTCGTCTTTCTTTGCACCGCGTCCAGCACCACCGAAGCCACGTCCTCTGCCACGTCGGCTCCCTTGCATCCCGTAGCCGCTGCTGCCGTCGTCTCCACCCCTCAGTTGGCGGCGACGGAAGTCCTCCTCCAGAATCTTTGTCCGCACCCACTCGAGCGTCCACAAGCTCTGGTTCTGCGGCAGGCTCAATCCGCTCGTAAATTGAAGCCACGATTCTGGCAGCAGCGAGAGCATCTTCAAGCACTTGGTCTGCTCCGGGTAGGTGATTCCCGCGGTCGCCAACTTCGCGTAGAGGTCGCGCATCTTGTCCAGAACTGGTTGCACCGGCTCTCCCTCGCTCAGGCGCAACGCGGACAGCTCCCTCTCCAGCATCAACGTTGCGACAACGGAGGTCGGGGCGTGCAGCTCCTTCAACACGGTCCACGCCTTTGGACCGCATTCAACCTCCGGCAGCAGGTGCATGACGTGGTGACGCTGGTTCAGCTCCAAACTCTGCGACATCAAATAGTAGCCAGCCGAGGAGCGCTCATCCCAATCTTCCTGCAGCGTGGGGTCACTCGGTCTAGGCTCCTCCCCAATCATTAGTTTCAGCAAACCGATCTGACGGAAATATAATTGCATTTTCCAGGCCCAATCATCATAGCCCTCACCATTGAACTTCTCGACGGTGAAATTCTTCAGCACCTCCTTGACAAGCGAGCCCTGGTTTGTTCGCGCTCCCCTTGGCGCTGAAAGACCAGAATCTTGGCTGCCGCTACGATCTTGGGCTGAAGATTCACCAGCTCCCGCCGAGGTGTTGCCCGCCATAACCACCTATAACGAGGATCACTATAACGCAGCTCTGATACCAGCTTGTTGGTGTAAGGGCCTAATAAACTCAAGCTATTAGGACTTAATCAAACTTAAAACCTCTCCTCGGGGTCACCTTCAAGGGTCCCTGGGTGCCTGGTACAAGACCAGCCCCTATCCTCGGGTCCGAGTTTGTAGAGAGAGGGATCAAGAAGGACTTAGTCAAAACAGCAAGAGTACCTTGAACGTCGCGCAGCGTGCCGTGCAGACCGTCGGTCGGATTAAGCTGAGAATTCGCTATATCGAAGCTCGCTCCAAGAGCTTTAAAATGAGCCAAGTTGCCTCGCGAAAAGTTCTGCCATCACTAAGTTATGGCTCGGACAGCGTTTGCCTAGCGTTGGAGTGCTAGCATACTAGCGTTGACTCGGGTAGCATTCCGCCGTCGAATAGCGCAGAAACGAAATTCCAGCGAGGAAGGAATTCGCATGAATCAATTTGACTATATTCAGGTACAAACAGAGAAGGATTAAATAGTTCTAGCTAGCAAGGACCTTGGGAATCAACCTGGGAACAACCAGGGATGATCCCAAATAATTCCAAGCAACAGAACCAACCTGGCTGGACAAAATAGTAGGTGGTAGGTTGGTAAACAACCTCTGGTTCTGTTTTTCCAACCTGGGAAAACAACAACCAGGTTCAGGTTCTAAAAACAGAACCTGTTTTGTCTTTGCCCAACCAGCCAAATGCTGGTTCCGCTGGTTTCCCCTGGCCTTGTAGCATGCAGATACAGACAAACAACATCCAACCTTCACCTAAATTGTACCCCTATAGTGCCTTCCCTGCTACACTATAGTTAACCAAACAAAACAGTACAATTTCGAGTTGGATAGAACTGAATCTGCGCAATCAACTCAACCGAACTGCAAAGCTTCCATCTTGGGTTCCTTTGCGAGCTCGTCCTTTCTGCTTGCACTGTTCATAGCGCGTACAATGTTGTGCCGAAGCGCACATTGCGCGAGTACCTGCAAATGCATCAAGCGAAAAATGCGAAAGCAAACAAACACACGAACACACCATTCACACGCAAATGCATTCGCACACGCATACTCGTACAAACAGACGGCAGGATGTCGTGCAATGTGCATTTGCACCCAACATGGTCGTCTGCCCAAAAAGAAGCTGTTTTAGCCACTCAGGTGTCCACTGGTCCTGCTGAGTGTTGAGGGTGGGGATGAGGTTGTCCCACGAGTTGTCGAGCACCGAGATGATCTTGGTGCACTACTGCACGTGCGACACCTTGCTGCCCGCTGCTGCCATCCTCGCATAGGTATCCTTGATCTTATCAAGGACTAGCTTGTCATCATTGCCCAGTCGCATGGAGAGGGCAGCCAACTCTTTCTCCAACACAATTACCATGGGCATTGTATTGGGCTGAATGATGTCGCGTAGCAGCTTCCACGCCTTCGGACCGGAGTCGTCCAGCTCCACCAAATCCTTGATGTGCTGGAACATGTCGTTGTTGATCGATTATATGATGAGGTTGAACAGCACTGCGCTCTTCTCATTCCGCCGGTCGCGGACATCTCCTTCCTCTGGCATCTTCTCTTCCCACATCACAAGTTTCAGCGGCTTGTAGCGCTTGAAAGGCACTCCTCATTTGTCCGCTCCATTCCTCATTGTTGGAGTAATTCAATGCCTCAATCTTGGATGGTGGCGGCTCACTTCTCTTCTCAGCTGCATCTCTACTCCCTTCACCCATCTTCTCTTCACCCAATCCTGGGTTTCATCTCCACCCTTGCTGTCCACACCGTGGATCCACAGAAAGCTCCAATTCTCGGCGCCAACGAAATTTCAGCAGAGTTTCCCCTTTGCGGAAGTCACATCCGACCTCGAGAACTCCAAGTAGGCACACCCACATGTCGTGGTGGGTCTAGAAGGTTTTTCACATCTCAGTAGACTCTGCATAAAGTCCTCAATCAGCTCTGATACCACTTGTTGGAGACTAAGGACGGGGTCTATGAAGATTAGAAGTCAAAATAACTCAAAATCGTTGACACTAAGTATCTGGACGAAACTGTCAACTTCACAAGAAATGCCGTCAACAAAAAATCACCTTTAAAACTTCACCAATTTCAAAGATGTTGTAGTCCTAGAGTGTGGCTACAATTCCCAATGTGAATAGTGTCAGAATGTTATGATCTAGCCTGTAGTGGGGTGCTCTATAGCGAGTACAACCCATCTAGGGTTTGCTATATGTATCCTCATTGCTGCTAGTGAAACCCCTCTTTGCCTAAACTCTCTCTTGCCTAGCTAGGGTTTTCCTAGCTATGGCTCCTCATTCTCGTTCTAGCTCTCACATGGTATCAGAGCTGTTACGCTCTTGGCCTGTGGACCCCACTTGCTTCTGCTGCTTTCCTATCTGTCGCGCACCACGGGGCGCGCGACGCCTTGTTTTTCTTCCCGCCGCGCGCTCGGGGCGCGCGGCGGTTTTCTGCCCCGTCGGCCTGCGCGTCGCCCCCCCCCCCCCCCCCCGCATTCCCCGTCGCGGCGCCCTGGGGAGCCGCGCGCGGCCCCCCGCTGCCCCGTCGCGGCGCCCTGGGGAGCCGCGCGCGGCCCCCGTTTCCCCGTCGCGGCGCCCTGGGGAGCCGCGCGCGGCCCCCCGCTGCCTCGTCGCAACGCCCTGGGGAGCCGCGCGTGGCCCCCGTTTCCCCGTCGCGGCGCCCTGGGGAGCCGCGCGCGGCCCCCCGCTGACTCGTCGCGGCGTCCAGGGGAGCCGCGCGCCGCCCCCGGGGACGCGCGCGCCCGTCCCCCTGGACCCGCGCGCCCCTCCCCTGGACTCGCGCGCCACCCCCGGGGACCCCTGCGCTCGCCCCCGTCCCGCGCGCCGTCCCGGTTCGCCACGAGCGCCGCCCCCGCTGCTGCCCGCGCTCTTACCTGTGTTAGGGTTTGGCGTTGGCGAGTGTGGGGGTGGCGGTTGTGGGGGTGCCGGTTGTGTGCCCCGTCCCCTACTCCTCCTCCTCCTCCGTCTCCCGCTGCTGCAGCTGCCGCTCAGGGGGGTGGGTGTGTGGGAGCCGAAGGAGTGGTGCTAGGGGGGTGACGTGGGAGTGGAGCTAGGGTTTCAGCAGGGGGTGTGTGAGAGGGGGGTGGGACGGTCGGGGGAGGTTGAGCGGAGGCTGCCGTCTTGTCGTCAGCAGCACCTGTAGTCCGGGGCGCTGTTCCGGTAGCCCAGTCGTAGCCAGCTGCGCCAGTCGCCCGTGGGTCCGTTGCTCGTCTGCCGCTCTTCTTAGCCGCGGAGCCAGTTACTCCTGTAGTCCGGGGCGCTGTTCCGGTAGCCACTGTGCCAGTATGACTCCTGTTGCCCGTGTGTCTGCAGCTTCAGCCGTCGCCTCTTATCTCCTCTCCTCCTACAGTCTCGCCTCCTCCTCCTCACTTGCCCTTTGTGAATGCCTCTAGCTTTGCTGGCCCTTGTGCACCTGCTCTGTGCCTGCTTATTGTGCTGAAAGTGAAATCGGGCGCCGGGAAGGGGGACTAGGCGACGGGAAGAGGAACTTTGCGTCGGCGAAGGGAAATCGGGCCGCAGGAAAGGGAATGGCTAAGGCGTTCTCACTTTGATGCGGAATGCTCCGTGTATCAGGCGCCGAAAAATAAACAATGGCTCTGTCGGCGTATGACCTATGCGTGAGAAGAGCTATAATCGCAATGGCTTGCACCGCTTTTGGAAGTTACCTTTTTAGTGCTAGAGTAAGGACGCCGTGGGTGTGGGCATAGTGGCGAGGAGGTATGTCCTTCAGTATACTTTTGGCTAGGTATAAACTTTTGACGAGTGAGTCAGGTGACTGGGGTTGGGTTTGGACTTGTCGCTGTGTCTGAAGTCGAGGGACCCTGTAATTTGGTTACCACCATGTACCTTTTATAAACTTTTGGACTTTCCCCTGGCAAATGTATACCGCCGCTTTAAGGACCTGGTGAGCATTATTATGAGATATCCCGACATTTTCGTGGATGACCTGCCCGATGGCCAGCCACCTTAGAGACCAAAATATCGCAGCTGGAGCCCGGCGCACAACCTACTCTTTGATCCCAATGGTGGTTGAGTCGGCCGAAGTGGATGATTCAAGGAGCTGGTAAAATCACCTTCTTACCAAGGGTTTTTTCCAGTCAAGCACGTCACTATTCGCTACACCAATGTTGTTCACGGTGAAAAAGCACGGAGGCCTACGCACGCTACCATCACAAGGTGATCCACATGTTCACAAGACTTCAGGTGACAATCAAGTCATGTTACCCCAATCCTGCGAGCAGAATATTAGGGAGATTAGCTTCGCGGAGCTGGCTACTTGTTGAAGGTTGATTCGCGAGGTGGCTTCTAGCAGATTCGCGTGTTTGCTGACGACTACCCGAAGTCCACTTTTTGCAAACGCTATACCTGTTCGGACTGACAAACGCGCCTTCAACTTTTTAGCTGTTAATGAACGAGGTGTGTAGGGACCTGCTCGATAAAACTGTCATTGTTTACCTTGACAACATCCTGCTCTAAGTGCGCGTTCTGTAAGTCTAATTCGTGCTCGCCCTGGCTTGCCCTCCCATCGCCATTCCTCTCTCCCTACCCATTACCTAGCTTGTCCCCCTCCGCGATCCTCCCCCCCAACCCGTTGCCTCGTTATCTCCCAACACAGCCCGTCGCCCTCGCTATCTCCCTTCCTTTCCCCGTCGCCCTCATTATCTCCCCCCTCTCCCCGTCGCGCTCTCTAGCTCCCCCCCTTTCCCCGTCGCGCTCGCTATCTCCCACCCTTTCCCCGTCGCGCTTGCTATCTCCCCTTCAATACCCGTCGAGCTCGCTACCTCCCCTCCTCTCCCCGTCGCACTCGCTATCTCCTCCCCTTTCCCCGTCGCGTTCGCTATCTCCCCTCCAATAGACGTCGAGCTCGCTATCTCCTCTCCTATCCCCGTTGCGCTCGCTATCTCCCCCACTTTCCCCGTCGCGCTCGCTATTTCCCACCCTTTCCCCGTCGCACTCGCTATCTCCCCTTCAACCCCCGTCGAGCACGCTACCTCCCCTCCTCTCCCCGTCGCGCTCGCCATCTCCCCCCTTTCGTCGCCGCGCTCGTTATCTTCCCCCCTTTCCCAGTCGCGCTCGCTATCTCTCCCCCCTTTCCCCGTCGCACTCACTATCTCTCCCCCTTTCCCCGCCGCGCTCGCTATCTCCCCTCCAATAGCCGTCGAGCTCACTACCTCCCCTCCTCTCCCCGTCGCGCTCGCTAGCTCCCTCCCTTTCCCCGTCGCGCTCGCTGTCTCCCACCCTTTCCCCGTCACGCTCGCCATCTCCCCTTCAATACCCGTCGAGCTCGCTACCTCCCCTCCTCTCCCCGTCGCGCTCGCTATCTCCCCCACTTTCCCCGTCGCGCTCGCTATCTTCCCCCCTTTCCCCGGCGCGTTCGCTATCTCCCCTCCAATACCCCTCGAGCTCGCTATCTCCCCTCGTCTCCCCGTCGCACTCGCTATCTCCCACCCTTTCCCCGTCACGCTCGCTATCTCCCCCCCTTTCTCGGTCGCACTTGCTATCTCCCCCCTTTCCCCGTCGCACTCGCTACCTCCCCACCTTTCCCCGCCGCGTTCGATATCTCCCCTCCAATACCCCTCGAGCTCGCTATCTCCCTTCGTCTCCACGTCACGCTCGCTATCTCCCCTCTCTGCCGTTTCTCTGACGCTCCCGTCACCCCCGTCGCTCTTCTCCAATCCTTGCGCCTCTCATCTTTCCGTTGCCGTCGCCCACCCTCTCCCTTCTGTCACTCTAATCATCACTCTCACGCTCTCTCGTCGGGTCAACGTGGACACACTTCCTTTTTAATGCCATTGTCACCATACTTCCTCGTCGTTCTTCTGTTTGCTACTCAAGTGCATCACTTCGTGTTATTCATTAGCTCAACATTTGTGTGTATGATGCGTGTGTGGTGGCAAGTTCCTCTGAGTTTTCGACATGTGTTATGCTCGATGCGAATTTGGATGGGTGGAGGGGGGGGGAAATGTCGAAGCAAGCTTGCTACAATTTTGTGCATGTTGCGACTGATTGTATCAGGAATCAGAAACAACTCCAAATTGGTCTTGCCAGTTGCCCTATTCGGCAAAAAAAATAACACCATTTTATTTTAAGCAAAACCATCACCACCGGGCCACCATGACACACGAGAAGTATTACATAAAGGCAGGGACCAACCAAATCCGGGTCACGCCCTAGCGCCCTTAAGATAGTTGCTGATGCAGGAGGTTCACGACTTTAACCTCTCCGAGCACTTCGACATCGACAAAATGTTAAAACATGCCGTTGGACGTGCATCGCTACGTGACAACATGCCCGACTTGTCAATCAAACGATGAAGTCGTCGTGTCAATTGCCAGCTAGAACCAATGGCAACAATTCAGCATTCATGATTATTGGCCGATTAACAAAAATGGTGCATTTCCCACCATGCCGAACGATTATCACAGCCAAAGAAACATGGAAGATGTTTCATCTCAATAGTCATACAGCTACACATGTTACCTTCGACGATCATCAGCAATCGAGATACAAAATCCTCGTCGCCTGCAGTTTTCGTCGTCATGCTACACGCAGACTAGCGATCAAAGGGAAAGGACAAATCACACAATGTATCAGCCGATTCACACCAACTGCCCCGGCCTGTCCAAGTAGGAAGATTTCCTCCCAATGATGGAGTTTGCGTATAATAACGCACCCTCAGCCATGACCAACAAGTTCCTGTTTTACCTCAATTACGGGATAGATCTAGTGCTACCCTTGCCGACCACAGCTGAGAATCCGGTACCATGCTCACAACAATTCGTCACAAAATTATAGCCTTCCCAGGATAAAGCAGCAGAATTTGTTTGCAATGTGAATAGCATTGCCACCCGCAACACCTATATATATCAAAGGGATTTACAATTTAATGTCAGAAAGCTTGTACTTTTAGACACGGAAAACTTCCGGTTGACCTAACCGACAAAACTCCATCCACTGCCGTGGGACCAATCCGCATCATTAAGATGCTAACGCATGTTACGGTTAAGCTACTGTTGCCTTTACGATGTGTACACCGATGGGCGCATACACGATGCATTCTACACAAGTTTATTGCAACCATTTATCGCGCCGATATCGGATATTGCCCACCAAATATGTCGCCAAGTGTTCGGCCTGTGGCAAAGTTAGCACTCGGACCCTGTAAGATGTTGAATCATCGCGTGCGATTGACGACGACTGGACGACACGTCGACCCCCTACTTCTGTGTGATAATCCATCAAGCGAGGATAACACGTGGGTCGCTCCTGACTCGCTTCGGGGACACTCGGTATTACGGGAGTACGTTTTCCGCCAACGCGTGTCTGATTTGGAACACCTTACCCTAATTCCTTACTGAGTCACGCTACTACGCGTATGACTCCAACCTTTTAGGAAGAACAGGCTTGGTCCTGCTAGAGTTAGGATCTTGGATAGGATACGTCTGCCTTAGGGAGATTTGGTAACGAAAGTCTTTGTGGTAGGAATCTTGTACATAGTGAATGTAAATGACAAGATTGATTAAAATATCAAAATACACACAATGAATAGGTCTAACTAGCCACGTACTCTAAGGGGTACATATTATAATTGTTTTACATGCATTTCTATAATTACTCTGTCCATTGCACTTCTTTCTGTTATCAAATCGATGCGTATAACCATACGAGTGGTTACGCTTGTTGCCATTCTTCGCTTGTGAGTCGTCGGTCGATATGGTCAACAGTCGTGACACTTGACCTTTGCGACTGTTGACCTTCCTGCCCTTGTATGGGCTGATCCGATACTGCTGCTAGCGTTGCTTCGATAGTGACGGGTGCGATACAGCTACACCTTCGTGTTAAACTGTATTATGCTTGTAGGCTGTAGTGGGGTAGCCAATATGGGGTACAACCCCAACTAGGGTTTCATATTTGTACCCAAACTTCTGCTAGTTCATCCATTCTTGCCTAGCTATTCTGAAATGGTATTCAGAGCAGGAGGTCCCTAGGACCTACCGACCGTTTTTTTTTTTAAGGGCCCACCACCGCTCGCATGCGGTTACCACGCTACCCCGTGCCCTAGCCTCGTAGCGCCCTCGTGCGCCCTCGTTAGCGCCCTCGCGCGCCCCTCGTTAGCGCCCTCGCGCGCACCCTCGTTAGCGCCCTCGCGCGCCCCTCGTTAGCGCCCTCGCGCGCCCCTTGCTAGCGCCCTCGCGCGCCCCTCACTAGCGCCCTCGCGCGCCCCTCGCAGTGTCGCCCGCCCGCCGAGCCGCCCGCTCGCAGCCCGCTCGTCCTGCTGCCCGCTTCGCAGCCCGCCCGCCCGCTCGCTGCCCGCTTCGCGGCCCGCCCGCCACGCAGCCCGCCCGCCCGCTCGCTGCCCGCTTCGCGGCCCGCCCGCTTCGCAGCCCGCTCGCTCGCTGCCCGCTCCGCGGCCCGCCCGCTTCGCAGCCCGCTCGCCCGCTCGCTGCCCGCTTCGCGGCCCGCCCGCCCGCTCGCTGCCCGCTTCGCGGCCCGCCCGCCCGCTCGCTGCCCGCTTCGCGGCCCGCCCGCTTCGCAGCCCGCTCGCTCGCTGCCCGCTTCGCGGCCCGCCCGCCCGCTCGCTGCCCGCTTCGCGGCCCGCCCGCCTCGCAGCCCGCTCGCCCCGCTGCCCGCTTCGCGGCCCGCCCACTTCGCAGCCCGCCCGCCCGCTCGCTGCCCGCTTCGCGGCCCGCCCGCTTCGCAGCCCGCTCGCCCCGCTGCCCGCTTCGCAGCCCGCCCGCCCGCTCGCTGCCCGCTTCGCGGCCCGCCCGCTTCGCTGCCCGCTCGCAGCGCCGCCCGCCCGCCCGCTACCTGCTTCGCAGCGCCGCCCGCTGCCTCACTGCCCGCTTGCTGCGTCCCCTCTGCTGCTGCCGCTGCTCTGCTGTGCCCTCACGCCTGAGCTATGGCCTCTATTCGCGTTCTTTCCTTCGATGCTGAGGGCCGTCCCGTGCAGTTCACTTCCTGGCTCGACGACCTGCAGTTGTATCTTATGAGCAATAGCACGGACCACATCTCCCTCTATGACTACGCGTCTGGTGCTGCCGCTGCTCCTGCTGCCACAGCCGAGCTTAGTGTTCGTTCCCACTGGCAGACTCGTGACGCAGCTGCTCGCCTAGCCATTCGTAGTCACCTGCCGCTAGCTGAGCTCGAGCATTTTGGCGACTGCAAATCCGCTAAGGCCCTGTACGATGCTGTCGTTGCTCGCTACTCCTCGCCTGCCACAGCCGAGCTTAGCCGCCTCATGCTGCCGTACCTGTTCCCCGATCTGTCCACCTTTACTACAGTCGCCGATCTTATCACCCACCTTCGCACTAGTGATGCTCGCCTGCGTGCCGCCCTTCCCACCGAGTTCTGCGCTAAGAACCCCCCTCCACTGTACTGGACACTCCACTTCATAGTCACCCGTCTCCCTGACACCCTCCGCTCAGTTCGAGACCACTTCCTTGCTCGCTGTCCCACTGAGCTCACAGTCGCCCTCCTAGAGGAGCAGCTGCTCGCGGCCGAAAAGAGCATTGTAGCTGTTGGTGCTGCTCGTGGCGCTCCTCGCACCCCCATCTTTGAGGGGTGTTCTCCCTCTCCCCTCGCTCCCTCCTACGCTGCTGCTGCTGTTGACTTCCTTGGTGCTGAGTCTGTTGGCGCTGCTTCTGCTCCTGGTGGGAGGCGCCGCACCGGCAAGGGCAAGGGGGGCAAGGGTGGTGGTGGTGGCGCTGGGGGGGGAGGAGGTGGGGGAGGTGGGGGGGGAGGCGGTGCTGGAGGGAGCGGTGGCGGGAGCGCTGGTGGGAGTGGGGTCGGTGGTGGAGGCGGGGGCGGCGGCGGAAGCAGTGGCAGTAGTGGCGGCGGCGGCGGTGGCGGCGGTGGCGGTGGTGGCGGTGGTGGCGGTGGCGGTCGGAGCGGTGGTAGTGGTGGCGGCGGCGGTCGGAGTGGAGGCACTGGCTCGGGCCAGAGCTCCCAGCAGCAGCAGCGTCCCCAGACGACCCAGCAGCTTCGTGAGTGGCTTGCTCAGCGTGGGACGTCGGGGGGCAGTGGCCGCTGTTCTTATGTCATTCGCACAGGTGACCGCAAGGGACAGACGTGTGGGAGGTTCCACACCCCGTACCGCTGCTTCTCCCGCCTTGACGACGCTTGGCGTGAGGAGATGGGCGCGGATGTTGAGCGCCCCCGCTGGGCTGAGCTCATGAGGGCTGGTGTTGATGTCTTTGCTCTTGACTATGATGCTATTATTGCTGCCATGTATGCATTGACTGTTAGTGCCGAGGGAGACTGTTACTTGTGTGTGCTGCCTGACCCAGGTATAGAGCCCGCTGCCCTGGGTACTAGTGAGTCTGCTCTCTCTGGTATGGTGCCCCCTGTACTTGCCCCCCCCAGTGCTGTCCTGGCTGGTTTCGAGTCTGCTCTCTCAGGTACAGCACCCACAGAGACTGCTCTCTCAGGTACCGCACCGGCTGAGGCCTGTCACACCTTCACGCTTGACTCAGGTGCTTCCCGTTGCTTCTTTCGTGACAGTACTGAGCTCACACCGCTTCCTGCACCGGTCCCAGTCTCCTTGGCTGACCCCTCTGGGGGCCCAGTCCTTGCCCAGTCCACCACTGTCCTCCCTTGTCCGGCGGTTCCGTCTGGCTCGTTGTCGGGTTTCCACCTCCCCTCGTTCTCGACGAACCTGGTGAGCAACGCTGTCCTCCAGGATCAGTGGGTTGACACCTTTACCCCTGGCGGACAGCGTGTGGCGATCTGCACGTGCTCCAGGACAGGCCGTCACCTGGCTACGTTTACCCGTCGGCCGGGGTCGAGTC